GGGAAACATCAAACCTAACAGAGCAATGATCACTTTCACCTAGATGTTTCCCAATTTCCATCCTCTCAACAATTTCTATATTGGAAGTTAAATCTAAAATAGCATTGTTTCTAGTAGGTTCCTTGACCAACTGTTGAAGAAAACCATCTTGAATAGTTTCCAAAAACCTTTCTCTGTCATGGTTTGACTCTAGCATTTCCCTGAAATTAAAATCACCCATAATTATGATCTCATTAACATCTGAAATTTTAATCTCACTGTAAAGTTTCTCACTAATTTCATCAGTATCATCTGGTGGTCTCTGTAATAAATTCCCACCAAAAACCTTTTACTTTTATATACAATAATAAATAACAAATGGATTCAATCTCCTTGCTATTATCTTTGATATCCTCAACTTCAGTAGGATGTAACTTGCATTTTACATATAAAGCCACCCCACCCTCTTTTGTACTCTATCCCTATTAACTAATCTATAGCCCTGTATTTCAAAGAAATTTCTATCATCAAGATCATCTTCATTTAACCACGTTTCAGTTATTCCCATTACATCATAATCCTCCATTCCTACCAGTGCCCTAAAGTAATCTATTTTATTTCTTATACTTTTAGCATTACAATAGTAACAATTAAGCCTATTCTTAGAACTACTTATTCATTTCCTATGCTAAACTTTTCTCTACATCTTATTTTTATTACATTTAGTTTATCTTGGCCCTCACTACTGCCTGAATCATAATTGCACTTTTGCCATATCTTACCACATGGTGCATGCTGTCTAACCATCCTAAATATATTTGCTAATTTGCATACTCTGTTTCACTAAGTTAGCCAGTTCACATATCTTGTTCTTTATTTCTTTCATAAATTGTGTTAGATATGGTTAACTTGAATCAATGAAAGAGAACATTATTATTGGAACAAACCCACATATTTTGCTCTGGTGACTTGGGTCCTCAGTGTGTGCAAGTACAATTTTCCTTTGTCTGCAAGTTTAGCACTACATGAGGAATAAGGCCTGGTATTAATGTATGAAACCACTGCTATCACTCACATATGGCTTTCTACTACTCCTTTTATCTATCTATAAGCACATGCTGTAACCCTTATCATTTTCACATCAAGGGATAGGAATGTCAAATTTGACACCTAGTGCAAATACTACCAACCTGTATATTGTTGGGAGGGGGGGGGGATCAATATGAAAGATGGTTAACAACCCATAATTATCTGATATATACATCAAAATTCCAAGCCTAAAATACTTGGCCAACAAATAAGCTTAGTCAGTAAAGACGTTGATGAATGACTTATTACCTTTTCAAGAAATGTTTGACAAATCAATACAATTTTCAGGCAAGATCTGACTACCATAATCTAATTTAAAACAAACATGTTTCTTAACTCTATTGTTTTGCATAATGTACTTGAGCATACATGTTTTCATATTCTCACTTAACTACCTAACCAACAAACACTTCATTTTGCTACTCACTTGAGTAATGGAAGCTTGCTAGTGGTGAATAATATGCCATATCCAATCCAAACAATTAATTTGTACGTTCATATCATATTAGTGAGAGTGTTCCTTGCCATGTACATTTCTCAGTTATATGCAGAAATTATATTTTGTAATAATAATGTAGCATATCATTAGTGAAAATGGTTTGTTGACTGCCATCATTAAGATCTCCTGTATTTGTTTGATTATTTTATTTCACTTCAGAAATGCTACTTACCTCTCTGTGCAACTGAGTGCTATTACATTGAAGCACTGCTGAATAGATTTTTATGCATGTGCCAAGCCATAAATGAAACTCCCACCTTTATAAGTAATGTGTACTACACCAGTTTATGATGAAATCAGTATTATATTATAGCCTTTCACCAGTAGAAGGGTGAAGCATTCTCCATGCACACTAGTCCCCTTGAGCACCTTATTTATTACCATTTTCTCCTCAGCATTGTTTGTCTTTAGATGTGTATCTTTGTTTTTGAAATCACAAGACTTTTTTTTTCAGTAACTTGAATATTGTTTTCAGACGTTTAGATCTTCCCTTCTCTTTCTTTGTCTTCCACTCACCCTCAGTCTGCTCATTTTCTTTCTCAACTTTTTTTTGCTTGACTTGCAATCTGAGGGTCGTGGGTTTGAATCCCCGTCCCACCAAACATGCCCACCACTTTCAGCCTTGGGGGCATTATAAAGTTATGGTCAATCCCACTATTCGTTGGTAAAAGAGTAGCTCAAGGGTTGGCGGTGGGTGATAATGACTAGCTTCCTTCCCTCCAGTTTCACTGTTAAATTAGAGATGGCTAGTTCAGATAGCCCTCTGTAGTGTCCCAGTTAATTTGGGTTTTTTATTTCTGGAATTAGTTTAGTCAGAATGCTTTATTTTCTGGAGTTTATCTCCCTCAGTCTTACACCCTGCCATCAAGACAAGGTGGTTGGAAATGTTTCTTATTCTTTGGAAACTTGAGTTAAAGTAGCTCACCAGCAGTTATTTTTGCTTATATTGTTTTTCCATTTTCCTTTTTCCAGGGAGTCCCAGCAGGTTCTTTGTCTTTGGGAGCCTCTCCTGCTTCTTCTCCTCTCACTACATTTTAATATCCCTCTCTCATGGAAGGTTGACCATTATGAAGGGGACATTTCTGATACCAACCCTTGGCTCTGGTTTGATAGAAGCTTGGTTCTCCCACTTTATGCACCTATGGACCCCCCTTTGTAGAAGACTTTTAGATCACACAGGTATTTTCTCACAGGTTTTTCCTGTCTTCCAATAATCAACCCTTTTTTGCTTCTTCTCCAGTTGTCTCTTCACCCAACTCCCTAAAACTAATGCATCTTTGGTATCTGAATGAGGCTGTGTTTTCCCTCTGAGCTATGAATGCCATGGAGCAGGTCCTCAAACCCCCTTGTTTTCATTCCCAAGAAGTCTGAAAATGGATGACCTGTTATAGTTCTATTGTTCTTGAACCAATATCTTTTCATTCCTTGGTTTAAGATGGAAAGTTTTTTCATTTGAAATGGGTACTGTTTTGTGGATGACCAAAGTCAGTGTTTTGGATGCATTTCTCCACATTCTGATTTGTTCATCCAACTGTCACTTCTTCCAGTTCATTGACAATGGTTGTAATCTTCAAGTTGAGGCACCTCCTTTTGGATTGGCTATGGCCTTGAACATTTACAAACAGATTGTGAGGGCTTTTACACAGTAAGCCTCCATTTCCACTAATATATGGATGATTGAGTCCTTCTTGCTCCATCTAAATAAGCATCATAAGCTGTAATATCACTTCTCTTTCAGGCGTTATCTCATTTGGGTGGACTGGTCAAATTTTTCAAGTCCATCTTGGCGAGTCACATTTAATCAGATTCTTCACATTTCTATGTCTTTAGTGGCATGGTTGAATTGCCCACTGAAGGACTTTGTGTGGGCTGCTATGTGGACCTCTCCAAATACTTGTATCCCACATTATTTGCATGATCTGGCAGTATCTTCATCTGAAGGTTTTTGACTCACCCCCTGTAGCTATCTTAACTACTTCTGCTAGCTTATACATAGGGTGAGTATTTTCTTTGCTATGCTTGTCTCTTCATTACCTTTCAGGATCCTTTACTTCATTTTCACAGGATCCCACTCTTGGACAAGTGTTGTCCAGGTAGGTGTGCTTTTATCGAAGCAATTTGGCACTAGCAACCATAAATTAGGTGTTCCATAAGACCACCTTGAGGCTGACGGGGTGGTACTACTGTGCTATGTTCGACCACCACTCATGGACTATCATGAGTAAAGCATAAGGGGATCCTACCCATCCCTGTCAATCATTGGATTGAATAAATTGGGGTCATTTTGCTTTTACAAATTTAGGGAACTTGGTTCATCTATTGTACTGTTCGTCAGGGCTCCCCAAATTCTACTACTGGAGCTAATGATTCCTTACTACACCCAGTTTCCAGTTGCTGGGGTGGTGGACAGAGGCTTTTCCTCCAGAGTAGTAAAGTGAATTTCCTCTACTCTTGGAGAATAGGGCAGAGTTGGGGGCCCTCCTACCCTGGTCCCTGGATGTGTTTTCCCAGATGTCAGTAGGAGAGGCACCATCCTACTGATAATACTGGTTCAGATTTGACTCTCTACTATCCAGTTGGATCGAGCATGGCCCTTCTCTTTGATCAATATAGGGTCAATACATTGTTCATGGAAGACAGTCCAGTGTCTTCTCGTAACTCTGAATGCAGAGTGGGCCCATCCTGGGTCCTTGGTTGAGCACAGTTTGTTCCACATCCTTCCCATAATTATGGGGACAAGTGGAATTTTCCTTCCCCACACAGTTGGGGAGTGAAATTGACTGGATGAGTTCTGTTTCCTCAGGTTTAGTAAGGCATACAAGATCCTGTCATTCCACGCCTTGAGTGTTGCCTTTTGGACCTCTTTAGGTTGAGGAGAAGGTTTGTCCACTTTGGTGTTGCTTACTTTCTCATTGTGATTCTGGTGGCTCAGAACGCACCACTTTATGGCTACAGGTTGGGACCCACTTATAAGTGTATATATGCCATCCAATTGTCGTAACCATCAACATGGGATATAGGGACCATGGCCCTATAATTCCAACCCCGAGTAGAGGAACCTCGGCTATCAGATTGGGGCCTGGCCAGTAGTGATGATAAATAATGTAAAATTGCACCCACATTACATGAATTAAGTTCCAGGTGAAGAGCATACCTGTTCTTAATGTAGTGCTATTCCTCCACTAGGGTGCCAATCTTCTATTGATACCAATGATATATGCAGATGCTTTCTGTATAGATAATGCCCCACTGGTCCCTCCAACTTATCAGTGTGGGATTCTAGCTGTATTGTGAGAGGAAGCAAGAACTTTCTGGAAATTAACATTTTCTTAAATTTAAAATGTATTTCCAATAACAATTACCTTCTGTCACACTCTCCCACCCTTCCTTCCTACTAAGAGCTGGTGTTAGAGACTTTGGATTTAGTCAGTCTTGAAAAGTGATAACTTTATCTGAATGAGGTGCTTATATACAGTACCAGGATAGAGGGTGCATTGACATAGGTGGAGAGTGTCATGAGACAAATATTGCCAAGGGCACTTAAAAGACTGGAGCAAGTGATAAAAAATTAGACGAATGCTCAGATGGGCAAAGGAAGAAACCCTGGCAGTTGAGTAATTGCTAATGTGAGTGGAGGTAAGTATTACTGGAAATACATTTTCAATTTTAAAAAGTTAACGTATATTTAGACCATGTGTGTGTGTGTGTATAGTATATATATACATAAATTTTTTAAGTTGCTAAATAGCCTTTCAAACTCGTATATAATTTGATAAATTAGTTAAATGGGAGGATATGGACTTAAATAAAAGGTAGCCTACTGTTATTGAGGGTTTTATGATATATCTTTAAAAAAAGCATGTTAAAACAAATGCTCTAGGAAAAAATAGTACTGTTTTAATTAATTTTTTATTGTTTTATTTTTAGTAGCTTAAGTAATGTTTGCCAGTGATGGGAAATGTAAGAACATGTTCTCATCTGCTCTTCGTCATTAGACTATTACAGTGATTTAGTAGTTGCATCACTTCTGCACAGATAAAAAGTTTCTTAGTCAGAGACACCAAAAATGCATTTAGGTTGGTGTGTGTGTGTGCCCAGTCCAATGTGATCTTCTACATTGCCACTGTTTTGTCTGCCTTTAATGGCAGCCCTGATTTTTGATCTCTGATACAAGTTCTAAAATATAAAAATGTTGTGATACTTAATGATGTGAGACACTGGCACTTTGGGAGGTTGTTGGTAACTTTGATGACCTGAAAGCCTATTTTGTACTCAGTTGACATGGTGTCTTTAAAGAATTTGAAAGATGTTTGAAATAGTTTTGTAAATTATGACTAAAAGGTAAATTGCAACTTGTTTTATTCTGCCCTTCAGTATTAATGTTTATAAGATTTAAAGTGGTTGGTAAAATAGTTGTAAAATAATATATTTTTGTATGTTCTGAGAGTCCTTATTTTTGTTTTTTTTCAGAATGAGAAATTAATGGAACTTCTTACAAAATGCAAAGTAGTCCTACAACTTATGAAAAGTCGTACACATGCTTTGGTGAAAGAAAATAAGTCATTATTAAAGTTGGTGGAACTTAAAACAAAGGAATTGAAAGATTTTCAGGTTTGCTATTTGATCATAAATACATTTTAAAAATGCATACATTCAGTAATGAATCTGACCAACTGTATTTCAGTGGTAAATTTCATTCACTTTGGCATAGACTGTGTTGGAACATATAGGGGTATCTTAACATTTTAGGCTAAATTTTGTTTGTACAAGATACAGATTCAAAGACTGACATTAAAACTCATTCCAAAGAACAATTCTGGAAGTGTAACATACATAAACATTACATACCAGAAAGCAGGTAAATGTTAAAGATGCTTTATTAATAATCTACAAAAAAAATGAGAAAAATTTTTGAAGCAAGAATTCAAAGGTAGATAATGAAATTATAACAGATTGATAAGTTACCTGAGTAGATTTATTGATGTATAATAAATATTGAATTTAATAAAATGAATTGTAAATTTACATTAAAAATTCTAAATTCTGATATGGAGAAATTTACTTTAGGCTCCATTTTAAGTTACATTTGTAGATTTTCTGGTATTTGTGTATTATAGGACTACATGTCAGTATAGATAAACTGTGTAAAACAAATGACACAAACTCTAGTAATTAAACTAGACATTATTAAGACAATAATGAATCATTAAGAAGTTTTGATCAAAGGAAGTTAACTATATGCATATGGAAAATAACATATTTAAAAAACTAAATCTATATCACAAATTGACTTGGAAGATTTTGTCATAAATCCGTATAGCAGAAAACAAATCTATAAAAATTGAAATTCTTTGTATCATTAGTCTGGTGCCTTCACTAACTATTTTTAGATGTAATCCCAATAACATCTCATGAAATTGGGCCTACATTTACTAAACTGAAAGTTCCTCAAAGATTTCTATGGATAACAATGCAAAATTGTAGAAATTAATTGAAGAAAAATTCAGAATAATTTTAAACATTATCACTCATCATATTTAATGAAACTAAATAGAAATGTTAATACTCATAAGTCATTTGCTCCAGAGATCCCCAAAGGTTACCAATACATGACATTTCAATATTGCTGTACTGCACATGCAAGAACAAAAAACCAAGGAAAGTTACAAAACAAAAATATTAAACATATCATAAGTACACTAGTGCTATTTATCCACAAAATTATATCAAAGTTTTGTCACTTATTTTTTAAAGAAGCATGAAGAATTTCTCCAAGAATATATATACCATTATGAGTTTGCAGTATTAATTCTACCTTGGAGTGGTCAGTGTCAAGGTTATCTTAATTTGTTTTTTCAACTCTGCTTCATGGCCTTAAAGTTTGTGTAATTCAGTGGTCCTCTTTATGAATAATAAACTTCATATATTTTCTACTTAATTTAGTTTTTTAAATCTTGTTCTCAGATGTTAAAGGCTTCTGAACTCAGAGAAACTAGGCTTACCAATGAAATAGTAATATTATTATATCATAATATTTAATGTTAAATGTTTTGCATGGAAAACTGCTATGCTAAGCAAAAAATAAGTTTGTGTTTGTATCTATCATAATGTAGTATGGGGATCATGCTTATAGTGAGAAGCTTTATAAATAAGAATTATGAGGATAACTTATCCTCTTGGATAGATCAGTGGAAGAGCACTGGCCTTGTTAGTCAGGTGTCCTGAGCTCAAGACCCAAGTTCTAAAGTCACTTTGCTTATTGGCTTTTTTATGTAAAATATCTAATCTTAAAATAAATTTGTAAGTAAGACTTCTCCTTGTTACTCAGGAAGTTTTTAACCTAGTTTGTTTAGATCTAACAGAAATAGGAAAATTTAAAATAATCTTTATGTACGAGAAGTTTGGGTTTAATGTACTAATATATATTTTGCTAAACTTGCAAGAATTCATTTTCAGGAAAACTAGAAACATAGGGAACTATGAATAAAACTTCTGTAATGTTTGAAGGTACTTTAAAATGGTATGAATGGAGGCGTGATTGAACAGGATCAAAAAGTGGGAAAGTAGTTTTAAGTACAGGTTGTTATTGGTGCAAGTAAGTATATGTGAGTTTTGTTTTTTAGTTTTTTTATGGAAATGTTATGTTTCCTTTAATGCAATTGTTATAGAGCAGTAACTTCATGTTTATGACAAAAACAATTTTGAGTAATATTTTGAAAAATATTGAAGTGGCTGAAACTTGATGTGGGCACACTAAACTATTCATAGGAAAATGAATGTTAAATATCAAACAGTTGTCAAGGTTTTTCATTGAAAGTACCATTGAAGGATTATTAATGAGTTATAATAATCTTAGGTTTAATTTTAAGTTTCTAATTGACTGATTTAAGTCAGTAGAAACAGATCATTGCAAGCTTATGAATCATCGAAGAACCTGAAATGGTAAATTAAAAAATAGTCACAGGAATGAGCAACATAAACTAAAGTAGAAATTGAAATGCCTAGAAATGTTTTATATGGGCATGTTACAAGATGATATTCAAAATGTTATTGCACACAAAATAGTTCTAGGCATTAACAACTTGCTAACCATTTTTAAAGGCTGAACCATATGTGGATTTTCCCTAGGTAACTTGGACTTCAAGTGTATTGTTAAATCACAGCTTTATATTCTTGGCATGAGCAGTGCGAGATTTAAAGATAATCTGTATATGACGTTTTTAATCAGCCATGGCAAAGATCAGTTAGTTGAATAAATGTGGTAAAACATCAAGAAGTCAAGGGATGATGTTTCTGTCACCCGAATAAATAAATATTTTGACAACCATACAAAAAAAACTTCTTTAATTAAGCTTTCATATTACTTAGAATGAAAATCCGTAAAAAATGGGTTTTTACCACATTCACATATGCAATCCAAAATTTTTTTTCATTGGAGCTAGCTTTGAACCAGAAATGTTTTTTCTGTCAATGAAGAAGTTACAATTAATGACAGAGAAAACCATTTCTGGTGGCAAAAGACAAAAGAATCCCTTCAAAAAAAGAACAGCCCAGTGTGGTCCTGGAAAATGGCTTAATAGAGACCTTGATTTAGATACCCAATTTTGAACATCATTTTTCATTTATTTTAGTTGTGTAGTACAAAGAATTGCAGAATAGCAGTATATAACAAAATATAATTTAAATTACTACACTACTATGTTATAGGTAATTGACATCTATTATGTATTATAACTTATTATTTTCTGAGATCCACCTCAATATACATTTGAAATTATTTAACATTGCTGTGACAGTTGTAATAATTGTATCCTTTCAACAACATCAAACATGTCTCAACTTTTTATTTTAAACTTTTTAATTACAAGTGTGCATTTTGGTTGTTCCTTAACCTTGATGATGACTCATGAAGTAGGTTAACAGCTAGCTTCAATAAAAACAAAAAATTGGATTAAATATTTGAATATGGTGAAAACCTTTTCTTAAGAATTTTCATTATAATTCAGTATTTCTCTTCAAGATGTTAAATTACTATAATTGTAAACAAAAATGATTGTGAAAAAGAGCATGAATTATATAAAGAGCCAGGCATAGACAAAAATGAGTCTAGTTGGTTTGATTTCTCTTCCTTCTCAAACAGGTTTTACATAATTTGTTTTGCACATAAAGATATTGGCAGAAATGAAAGTGTTGTTTGAAGAAAATCTCAGCTACCATTATTCTAGTCCCAAATGGTTCAGTGGTAAATTTGAAAGTTTATAATGCTAAACATCAGATTTTGTTTCCTATAGTGGAGAGAGTGCAAATAGCCCATTGTGTTTAACAACAAACAAACAAACCCATTATTTTGTCCAATGAAAATGGCATAGCAACATATCTTGACAAAGTGGAAGAAAGACTCGTGTAATAATGAGATCTTGAGTATTGAAGTTGAAAAGATCCAGTTGAAGTTTGGCTTTGCTGAGTGTATAATAGCCATGCTGAATTGTCAGAAAATGTCAATCATTTTAGCTTAGCATGCTTGAAGGTGCAGGGGATGATTTTGCAACAGTCTTTTTTTTTGTTGTTGTTGTTGTAAATAAAAGATTAGCATTCACCATGACCAGAACCAATTTTTCTCAGGAAGATGAAGAAAATGTTAGAGTAGTGATGAAGAAAAACATTTTTCAAGAGACTTTGAACAATTTTCTTTGGAATGTATTGCAGATAAATTTATATGAGGTACTTTCAGTGTAGTTATTCTGTGATTAAAGATAGCATGGGAGTAGATTCTACCTCAGAAGAATCCAGCAAAGAGTATCAGAGACAAACAAAAAACAGCTATAGCTAGTCACGTGAAGAGAAAAGAAGGAAACAGGTAATACAGAAATTGATCTAATTCTTTGTATCCTGCTGTTGAAGATATTTATTTTTTACAGTCAAAATAATTTTTCCTGGGAACTGCATAATATAACACAAGGTTTTCAAATATTACAGAAAATGGTAATTTTTAAAATAGATTAATAGTATTAGTAAAAACACAGATTACACTAGTTTTGCTTGTTAGTTCTTATTCACCCCAGAATTGGAAGAGAAGAAAGATGAGCAAAAAGTTTATTTTTGTTTACTGTATATGTTAATATTATAGATCTTCCCTATCATTTAAAAATAATAGCTTCATGTTTACTGTATATGTTAATATTATAGATCTTTCCTACCATTTAAGAATAATAGTTTCATGTTTACTGCATATGTTAATATTATAGATTTTCTCTATCATTTAAAAATAATAGCTTCAAAAGAATTCAGAGAAAATTCTAATTTCTATAATCTCCAAAATTGCACTTACCTGTTTTTTACATCATTTTCATTTCTTCTACATTTATATTGAGTATTGTTTTTAAAGTGTTATCATGACTTAATTTCATATTCTATATTTTATTATCACCCCCTGACACACACAAACACAGCATATTTATCAACACACCAAATTAAAAAGCTAATGGTCGAGAGAGAATCAGTCATTCTCTTAATGGCAAGTTATATTTTTTTTATATATATTATGGATCTAAGCAAGGTGAACATGTATACCAATTTAAGTTAGACTTAATCAATATTTTTTATTTTGTAAAGCCTGATTTCATATATATATATATATCATAGATCAATAATTGTCAGGAGTTCATCTACTTCTTCAATCCAGTTTGTCTAGTACATTTCAGTTTTGTTTTTTATTGTGTCAATATTTAAAATATAGCTCTTGTTTAGTAATTTGAAATTTTTATGAGCAGTCAAGCAAAAATACATGCACTTGGAAGTAGAATGATTAATTCACTTATTTCTACCTAACATAAAATGTTATTTTTAACATAATTTTAAAAATGTTAATAAACACTGACTTTTCATGTTTCTAAATTAAAACTACTTAATTCCTCTAGTTTAAGTATACTTTATGATGCATAATTTGATAGAATACAATGTATTGGTTTATGTTTCCTCCAAAAGAAAAACAACTTGACTTCACTAAAAAAAAATTCAATCCAGGTGAAGCATGAAAGTACATATTTTAAGGATTAAGAACTAATTTTTTTTTTTAAGACACTTGACTTAGAACAAAGAATCATTAAGATATGTTAAATATTATCAAATAAATAGGGAAAATTTATTGATTTAAACTTTTTTAGTTTCAAAAGTTTTTATATTCAGCTGTGACATTTTATTTTGTTTCTTGCACACTGATATTTTGGTTTAGAAAATAGTTTAGGAAGAAAGTGCTTAAGGGAACAAAGTGATTATTAAAATGTGATAAAAAATCAGTTGTTTAAGGATTAACATAATTAACTTATATTAGATTTTATAAAAATTATCTGAAAATCTTCCAAGTTGACTAAATAGTTAATAAATTGAAACATTAAGAAAATATTTTAAATTTCATATTTTTATTTTGATCATGATGTTTTATTTTATAGCATATTCATTATCTTTTAGATAATTTATTTTTCTGTTTTGACAGCCAATTCATGAGAAAAGGCACCATATATTTGTGTAAATTTTAAAATATGATTAATTATGTATTTATATATATTTTCCCACTCAAAAATATTATTGTGGTAATTGGTCTTTTTGTCAGTATATTATTGTATTTTAGTAAAAAAGTGTATTAAGAGCTTGAGGAATAGACTCAAGGCATGAACAAGAAAATATGAGCAATATGGAAACCTAGGTATGCTATCAGGTCCTTAGATTTTACATTAGGGAGAAATAGATGGATTTAGCTAGTATAATTCACATTTCAAACTTTGAAGAAGCAGTTAATCTTGCACTGTGATGAGCTAGGTGTCCAAATGTGATGTTCAGTATGGTTTGCAAAATATTGGACTTTATAAAAAGGAAATCAAAGCATAGTAATAAAAGAACACAATGTCATGGGTAGCAGTTAGTGAAATGAAACAAAATGGCAAAAGTCTTGATATTAAAAAACTAGTTTGGACATTTTAGAATCATATACAAATATCTGAACACCACTAAAAGTAATGTAACATCAAATAAACAACATATGAAGATAAAAAAGAAGGTGCTTATATTATGCCATGCCAATCCTTTGAGAAAGGTTATATAGGTGGAGCCAGAAGAAATATTTACATCAGACATTAAATATGAAAACAAGCGGTGGCATTTCTATTCATATGAGAGATTCTGGCCATCAAATTGATTAGAAATTAACAATAATTTTATACAGAATTGATAACTAGATAATAAGAATAATAATCCTGAATAATTTCAACACCTAGCAAGGTCACCTTGAGCTAAATGGCTTTTTGACTTCCTGAGCCTTTACGTAAATTTGAAGTTTTGAGGCTATGTAGGCATTGTTAAACAGTTTCTCTGCCAGGAAACAACATGAAGCTGAAGAAGACTTATGAATGTATTGAAACTAGTTTCATAATATCAAGATATGTGCAAATTTGGTTCATTTACTGTGGGTTTTTCCTAAATCATAGCAGTTTTTTTTTATCATGGTGTGATTGTTAAGTCTCACAAACTTTAACTCACATATAAGAAGGATACCAACTCATGAGCACAAACTCCCATCAGTTTGTGAGATAATGACCTATGTGACCCAAATGTTTGCTAAGCAGATGTAGAAGTAAATATCTCTGAAAAGTTTTAAGTATATAACTGCATAGTAAAATGAGGATTTTATGAACAGTGCATGGCTGGATAGGGAAGTGATATAATAAGTAATGAAACTGGGACTAGTAATATAGCAACAAACTTGGGAGTTTGCACTGATAGCATGCTGTTGCCAAGTGAAACTTTTGCTGGTTGTAACATTGCCTTTTTATAATACCAAGAGTTAGACATAGAGGTGTCCAAGGTATACAAGAATTCTCTAGTATACAATTTCATACAGCTGTTGGGAAACTTTGCATTTTAGAGACAGTAATTTGATTGAGAGTACACCCACCTGACACTAATGATTGTTTTTCAGTAGACCAGCAAATTTGACCAAATGTTTCATTGCTTCATAGTGTGTGTGTAAGATAACCTTCCTAGTGTGAAGGTTAGATGTGTATTTAATTTATTTATTTTATTGTACAAGTTTCTGTATTATGGGACTCCGGTTATAATTATGCTCTCCATAAACATATAATGTTCATTTATTTGCTTAAAATAGTATGAATATTCATGATTTGAACTCAAACAATATTTAATGTCTTATTATTTTCAAATGTACTCTATTTCTATTTAGCACCTTCTGGTTGTGGATATTACTCTTAAACAAAAGTGATAACTACCTTAGCAGAGGTTCCATGTTTGAAGTGTACTATATCCATGACCAAAATGCATATTAAATATTTTCTTAATGCATTATTCATATCCTATGCTGATCTAGATTTAACATAAGTATTGTACACTGAAATGAAATAATATAATATGTCAATTTTCCCAAACCAATAAAACATGTAAAATAGGTGGTGGTGGTTTTTGTCAGTTGGCTGTTAAGCTAATATAACTCATAAATGACCACATGATGACCCAAAGTAGTTTGGAATATTTAGACTTACTTTCAAAAGTCTTGTATGTTTTGGCTGAAACATTTTATTAGCTCTTCCTATGCCTTTAAAAAGTATATCATACAGTGTTTTAAAAAATTTCATATCCAGTTTATTGTTATTTAGCTATAGATTTATTAACTTCATCACTTTTGAGGAAAAATCTAAAGGCAGACATATACAAAAATTTGCATTCTTAAAATATATATATATATATACTTATGTTAATTGTTGAAATTTTTATGCTCATGGATTGTTGTAGAAACTAAAGTGAATACTTAAAGTATTGAAATTGTTCTGTCAAATATTTTAGCGTTTTTTGTAAAGTTGATATTTTTTTTCATGCAAGTCATATTGATATGAACTTTGGTTCACTTTTATTTTTTCATGTTTTGTTATCAGAGTGCATGTCTGGAGGAAAGTACCAAGTATCAAAATGTGAGATATTTAGGACTGGAGAACTCAGGTAAATATTTTTCGGAATTACTGTCAAAAGCCAAAATTTTAATAACTAAAGAATTTTTCAAAATCAAATGCATTGGCTGGAGTCATCTATTACAATATCTTTGAATGGAAAAGAATTTTTTAATTATCTCATAATTATTTTCAAGAAGTTGCAGGTAAATTAAAAGACTGTGTTTGAGCATTATTCAGAAATGATTTGGTTATAAAGCCTTTTTGGTTCAGTTCGTGCCAAGAGACGTGGTCACTTAAGAATCTCCAGAAAAAATTTTAAAGTAACTTCTTTAGGTTCATTAATGAAATTTTAAATACAAATAATAAGAATTTTTTCTGGCAATTAAATCAAAGGATGACTATATATAATATTGGGTCACATTGTAAAACAAGATAAACTTGTTAAATAGCTTTACATTTGAATAATCTGTATGATGTGTATTAATATTCATTAGGAAAATGCACAGATTCCAGTAATGGAAAAACAAACACAAATTTCCCATACCAGTTCGATGAGGGAACCTGTTGTCAAGTGTGCAAAAACCCATTAGGAATTCCAGGAAAATGCACAATTGTATCTTCATGAACCAAAGAAATATTTTGAGCATGAAAACTACTTCCTCATGAGTGATTACAATTGAACTGTGAAACATGCTAAGTTAATGAGAACATGTACATTCATCCTATCATCAACAGAAAAATTCTCCATTTAGAGAAAGATGGAAGGCTGTATAGTTCCTTAGAAAAAAGTATAATCTTGTGAATCGTGAAAAATAAAGTTTTACGAGTAAACAAATGAATGAAATTGGATGAATGAAATTAATGTCCTAGCTCAAGAAAATAACTGATCGGGAAGAAGCAGGAAAACAGTATTATAAAAATTAGTGGAGGCAAATGTATGGCTTCAAAAGAACATAAAAATCTAAAGATAATATTGAAAGTATATAGTTAAGATTAAAATTTGTTGAGAAAATATATAGACTATTAATCAAGAATCTAGTAAATGGCACTGTAATATAGACTAAAAATCAAATCCCAGAAAAGCTCTTGCAAAAATCAAGCAGAATTTAAAAATCCACCCATGTCATAATCATCAGATACAAGCCTTCCTTTATTATTTCTCAAGGGCCCTACTCCATCCTAACATTTTGTTTACCCTTAATATAGTTAAAGAAATTCTTATTGTTAATTTTAACATTTTCAGACAACTTATTTTGATACATCATTTTTGATGTCCTAATTTCCTGTTCGACCAACTTTCTTGATCTTCTAAATCTTTTATTATACCAGTCAATTTAAATGTCTTAAATTTATGTAGCTTTTCTTTAATTTTATCTCTTATACCCTTTGTGAGCCAACCTGGTTTTTACTTGCAGCCACCCTTTTTTTTCTGTAAGGAATAATGTTTATCTTGAATATTTAAAAATTCATATATTTAAAAATTTTTCACATTTGATCAGTGTCTCCAAATAACTCAGCTGCCCAATTCACAACAGATAATTCTTTTCACATCCCTTCAAAATTTGCTTTTGAAATTTGTAACCAAAATATCATTATTTCTGATCTCCATATGCAAGGAAAACATCAAATCTAACAGAGCAATGATCACTTTCACCTAGATGTTTCTCAATTTCCATCCTCTCAACAATTTCTATAATGAAAGTTAAGGATAAATCTAAAATAGCATTGTTTCTAGTAGGTTCCTTGACCAACTGTTGAAGAAAACCATTTTGAATAGTTTCCAAAAACCTTTCTCTGTCATGGTTTGACTCTAGCATTTCCCTGAAATTAAAATCATCCATAATTATGATCTCATTAACAGCTGAAATTTTAATCTCACTCTAAAGTTTCTCACTAATTTCATCAGTATCATCTGGTGGTCTCTGTAATAAATTCCCACCAAACACCTTTTACTTTTATATCCACTAATAAATAACAAATGGATTCAATCTCCTTGCTATTATCTTTGATATCCTCAACTTCAGTAGGATGTAACTTGCATTTTACATATAAAGCCACCCCACCCTCTCTTTTGTACTCTGTCCCTATCAACTAATCTATAACCCTGTATTTCAAAAAATAATATTGAAAGTATACAGTTAAGATTAAAATTTGTTGAGAAAATATATAGACTATTAATCAAGAATCTAGTAAATGGCACTGTAATATAGACTAAAAATCAAATCCCAGAAAAGCTCTTGCAAAAATCAAGCACTTGGAAGGAATGCATAAAAGATACACCAAAAGAAAACGTTATGTCATTCTGGATCTTTCTAGTTAGAAACTTAGTGAAAACTTGGGAACTAAAAATGTTATGAGAAAAAAAAAATAGATTTAAAAAAACTCAAATACAAAGAATTTCTATGAAGAGATCTATTGAGAATATTGTTGCAATACCCACAGAAGTATAAATCCGTAAAAACAGAAGTAGACTAAATACAAAATCAATAAAATATTATAAACATAAAAAAACAAACAAGGAAGAAAATAATCAGATAAGTTTGTTGGTTGTTGAACTTATTTCACAATTTTGTTGTTAAACTACATAATAAAAAAAATATGTGAGGGTGATGAAATAAATTGTGATACATAAATACAACCAAATTCCAATACAGTGAATTCAAGTGGAATAAAATATAAATATTCAAAGACTAGTTAGGTTAAAGTACATCTGAAAATTTGAACAAAAAATCTTTAAAGTATTAGTAATGATCATAAAATTTGCATTTTAGTTTTATATGAAAATAATCATATGTTTGTATTATTTGGAACATTGATCCCTGGACACAAGCATAAAATAAATTTTATCTCGCAAAGATCACATAAAACTGTGCAGCTTTCCTGGCATTGAAACTGAGTTATAGAAGCAAGATGATACACTTTCAGACAAAATTTATTTGTAATTCTGAAATTTTTAAAATTGGACAAAAGATTATTACAATAATAAGGCTGCATACAAAATTTTGATCTCTTTCCAAAACTTTGGGTGACGTATTTTAATAAAACTAGCACTATTTTTCTTTTACATAGATATGGTAGGATTAGGTAATGGATAAACAAAGATTAACTAAGATCTAATCAATAAACAAAGTTTTAGAAATATCATATGATAATAAGGCAGAGTGTGTTCATGATTTCACAGTTAATATATCAAACATATTTTGATAAAATGTTTGAGATATTAGTAATATATAATTTTGTTGGAGCTTATAAGATATACTTAAATGCATAAAACTGGAAATCTGTATCAAACGTATCTGCATAAAAATCACATAAACCACAATGGAAATAATGTTTTATTAACAATAGTAATTTCATGAAGTGTTTATTTTTGCATTACGTAAGAAAAATACGGTCGTAACGTTGAAAGATAAATGTGATTGAAACGTGTGTGTATATATATATATATATATATATATATTAGGCTATTACTTTAGTTAGACTTGTTGCAGTATTCAAGTATTT